GATTTTAAATTTCCTGGACTTTGCAAATCTCCCTATAGCCACAGGGCAGGAGGAGGAGCCTGTCTGCAGAAGACATCCTCCCAACCTTGTACCTTACTTCTACCATGTATCTTAACTAAAGACTGAAACAACATGTAGGCCTCTGACTAACATCTCCAATTGTTTTCCTCCTGTTTGGTTTGCAACATCTTGCCATCTTGCCCATGGAGCTTCCAATGCTTGGAACAAATATTGTGCATTTTGATTGCCCAATAAAGGTATCACTGATGAATTTGTTTCACTTATGCACATGTAAATATACTGAGGCTGTGGATATGACTGTAATTCAAAGGAACATTTTTAATTTGCTAGGTGTTTTATGTCACAATTATTGCTATTGCATTCAGTGATATATGGGAATTATGATTGATGTGTAACATTAGTACCAAAAAAAAAAAAAAAGACATCAAGTACAGTGTGGTATGGGAAGGAGGTCAATAGTAGAATTCAAAGATATAGCCACGTTAGTCTGTAGAATTAGTACATAGAGAGATCTTGTAGCACCTTTGAGAGAAAGAAATTGGCAGCATGAGTTTTTGCAAACTCGTTTACTTCCTCAGATGCATTTGGTAGAGTGGAGGCTAGGCACAGACATATATAAGAGCCCTGGTGGCACAGTGGTTAAATGCCTGTACTGCAGCCATTCACTCACAAACCACAAGGCTGCGAGTTAAATACCAGCCAAGGGCTCAGGTTCGAGGTAGCTAAAATGAGTACCCAGTTTGTTGGGGGCAATGAGCTTACAGTTGTAACCCCCTTAGAGATTGCATAGCGCTGTATGAAACAGTATATATAAATGAAACTTCTATTGCTATTGCTATATATGTGAGGATGTCAATTCAAATTACAAATCCTCTGTGTATGGAAATGAAGTCGCAGGTCCAGTCTCATGAATGGTCATTAGTGCACAAAGACATAGGAAACTGGTCTTTATGCAAGGGGAGGTCAATGGTGTGTGTGT